TATAATAAATTATAAGAAATGTTTTATGAGCATTTAATCAGATTTTAACATTTTGCATTACATTTACATTTTAATTGTTACAGTATTTTTGTTTTTACTGTATTTTTGATCAAATAAATGCAGCTTTGGTAAGGATAAGAAACTTCTTTCACCAAAAAATTAAACTTCTGTCATCATTTAGCTACCCTTACTTTTTTTCTGTTGAATATAAAAGGATATTTTGAGAAGATAATCAGTGGTAACCAAAACTGTTTGTGGTTACCAACATTCTTCAAATGATCTTTTAATTGTTTAATTTCTACAGAAGAAAGTCAGTTATACTGGTTTGGAACAACATGAGGGTAAGTAAATGATGACAGAAGTTTCATTTTTGCTCAGACTGTCCCTGTAGAAGTGTGTTTGAGAGAATAAATTCCAGATTGTAGCAACAATCAGACAGAAGAATGATCACGTAATTGGTCCACATAGTCTGATTAGTTGTGTATGGTCTTACACAAAAGTTGAGAACATAACTTTTTGAAGCATGCAGGATGACAAGCCTGTCAAGCCTGTCTTGGACTTAAATGTTATGTTCCAAGTTTTTTATATTCCCGTTTAATAACTTACAACTTTATGGCTGACATTCCTCTCAGAACAGCTGTCTGACTTATGAAACTCACTGACATTCACTTAAGAATCACCATTCTGTTTCATCTTTGAAAAAATCCAGCATATATCACCTTAATGCTTCAAGAGCAAGCTGGGGGACGGTTTTGTCACCTATAGATAGTTGCATCTGAAACTAATTTTAAGAAGTGACAGCGTTCCTTCTGGAAGGCTGATTTAATGGAAAGAAGGACTGATGCTCATAGTAGTTGATTTACAGATCAGCACTACTCAGTGTCTGAAAGTTAAAGTGAAAAGTGACGTGACATGTGGCCAAGTATGGTGACCCATACTCGGAATTAGTGCTCTGCATTTATCCCATCCAAAGTGCACACACACAGCAGTGAACACACACACACCGTGAACACACACCCGGAGCAGTGGGCAGCCATTTTTTGCTGCAGCGCCCGGGGAGCAGTTGGGGGTTCGGTGCCTTGCTCAAGGGCACCTCAGTCGTGGTATTGAAGGTGGGAGAGAGCGCTGTACATTCACTCCCCCCACCTACAATCCCTGCCGGTACGAGACTCGAACCCGCAACCTTTTTGGGTTACGAGTCCGACTCTCTAACCATTAGACCACGACTTCCCCATGATCTTTCAAGCAAAAATACAGGAAATGTGTGAAACTATGTTGCTTCCATGTCACATCTGAATTGATTAAAACCTTATAAAGACATCTTTCGAGTTGATGGGGAGTGAAAGAGATGTTTACAATGCCATATTGTGATTCACACAAACAGCTGTTCTCTGAGAGATGCCTGTGGCAGCATTCAGTCATTTAACAGCCCAGGAGTTAAGAAAACAATCCAGACATTTCTTTGTCTTTGAAACAATGCTTTAAGAGACCTTGAGAAAGAAAAAACTTACTGTACCTTAGGATCTTCCTGGTCGAAAATTGGGAATTTATTGTTTAGTCTTCAGCTTTTAAACCTTTAGGCCTAGTTCTGGTAAAGGATAACACGTTCTTTTATGTAACTAAGAAGCGTAGATTTCAAATACTTGTAGACGTCTTAAAAACAATTGAGCTTAATCAGAGTGCATGCTTATTAAAGCAATGACACACTTAGAAAGGAGGTATTAATTTAGTGCAATTAAAGTGACTGATGATTCATGTAGCAAAGTACTTCAAAGTAGCCCTCTTATTGTAAAAGTGAATGTGCGCCGTTCTTTCGTGATGTTCTTTAAATGGAAACTTTCAACCATTAACATGCCAGAGAATTGCATGGTGTGGTTCATGATGATGTAAAATGTGGTGATTAACAGTAGGGTTTTGATCTGAACAGATAACTTGCTGATTGATTACCAGTTCACCTTCAGTCTGCTTCAAGAAGATGACCAGCACTACACTGCCATTAACTTCATGGCCACTCCTGAACAGGTCAGTCGCAGTCTACTTATCTGAGGACAGAAGCAACTGAATGGTTTGACCAGATTTTGATTATCATAGAGAAGTCTTCTGATTGTCAGTTAGATTATGTACATTTCATAAATGGCATAGTTCATTCTAAAAATGAAAATTTTGTCATTATTTTCTTTCAAAAACCATATAAAAGCTATACTGAAACTTTCTTTTCTCTTTCCACTTTATAGACCAGCAAGAACTTGGACATGTCCATCAATGCATCAAACAATTTCAATCTGAACATCACTTGGTCAGTTGGGTCAACAGGTACTGACTACTCTTTTCCTCTGTTGAATATTTACCCTTGTTTTGTTGTATAAAAGTTATTGCTTTTGTACAGTAGTAGTAAACTAATATGTTTGCTGAGCAAATCTTCTTCCTTTTTTGCATTCATAAATTCAACAGCTGGTTGCCACACACTCAAAAAACAGGAGACACATTTCAATATGCAACTTTTAAGAGGCTTTACAGTCTAATAGCTGTCAGCATATTTAAAGCACCACTGTTAAAAATATAATAATTATTTTTTTTAAGTATTCTAATACTTTTATTCTGCAAGAATGTATTAAATTTATCAAATAACAGTAAAGACATTTTTATCATTCCGAACAAATTCTATTTCAAATAATTGCTGTTCTTTTGAACTTAATATTCAAAAAATAGATGCTGCTAAAAATTCAGGTTTACCATCACAGGAGAAAAAGCATTTTAATATAACAAAATAAAACTGTTAAAATTGTAATGATATCTGACAGTATTACTATTTTTACCTGATTTTCTTTATCAAAAAAAAAATCTTACTAACCCTAAAGTTTTGAATGCTGGTGTAAACAAGTCAGCCTTACTAATCAGTTAGGTGTGCCTAGCTGACCGTCGCATGCATTCTCATGTTAGCATAATATCATAATGGGTCTGACACAGAGATGCTAATGCATTGCTTGTTTGACCGCAGTGCGTTCCTGGGTGTGTTGGGTATTTTACAATAGACAGACACTCAAGGACGTCGTTATTATCCTCTATTGTTTATTTCTGTAATCACCTTTTCGTTCAAATAGTCACCAGCCAATTTTTTTTAATGTGACTTTGAAATTCACGCTCCTCTTTAACAGGTTCACTCCTCTCCTTCTCGACCTCCCAGCTCCCCTCAATTAATATTTGGAGTGGTGTCTTTCTGTTTAAAGACACTCTCCCCTGAGAAGGGCTTCTAACAATAGTCTAGCGTGCGGCTCTGAATTCTGGGGCTGCAGCGTCTTCAGGAGCACTGAACGATTTCAATTAAGATAAACATTGCCACGTAGTGGCATTTGGGTTGTCATTTTGTGGGCTTTGTTTCATAGTGCTGGTTTGGAATGACGATTGGTGGGACATAAGTGTTTCACTAGAGAACTTCAGAAAGTTTAAAAAGTCTTGATAAAATAGGACAAAGGCTGCTTTTCTTTTCAGCTCCTCCCAAGTCATTTTTTTTGTTAAATTATGGTTTTATACCATGTTTCTCATGTTTCAAATAGATAATGAAATTCTCACACTGAGAGGTTGTTTTAAAAACTCATTTTCTCCATGAATAAAAACATCAACAAACAGCTAAACCAGTGTATGCAGTCAGCCTTGTTGATTACTGGTGCAATTCACTGGATTTGCATTGCTCTCAGTCGCCCTTATTTAATAGCTCAGAAAGCATTAAGTGGCGGTCACACTACATTTTAAGCATGCATCATTTTTTTCAGACCCCACAATAAATATAGGCAAAGATTTGATGTTTTTGCTCAGGGTTTTGAATAAGTATATGTATGCAGAACCGCCAACATGCAGAGGTCAATCTGTGACCCTTTATGGTCAATGCTTTAATTAAGAGAAGTTATGAGGTGTATCAAATGCCATTTCTGAATGCCTCCTTTATATCTGAATTAATCGATCACATTCTTTAATCTTTACAGCTGGGACCATCTCTGGGGAAGAGATCCCCATCATGTCCAAGACCAACATCAAAGAGTACAGAGACAGTTTCTCTTGTGAGAAATTCAGTTTTCACAGCAATCCCAACATCACCTTCTATGTATACGTCAGCAACTTCTCATGGCCAATCAAAATACAGGTGAGGAAACATTTTGACTGGTTAGTCTTCTACTTGAATGCTCCTTTGTGAAATGGAAATCCACAAAAACAAATGTTTCTAAAAAGATCCAATGCTCCTTGATATGGAAATCAATTATTCAGTTATGCACTGGGATAGGTTTGCATCTTATGGTCCATAAAATTGAATCAGCTCTTAAGTGGCAATGTGTTACGTTGCCAGATGCCTAGATGACGGACATAAAATGACATTGCTGGAGTAATGTGCAGACCGATGTTATCTATCATGGGAAA